GTCATTTTGTATCAAGAAATTTGAATTCATTTTATTTAATTTTACTATGTAAATGTATATGTTGTAAGTGAAAACAGCCCATTTTCGGGTTGATTTTATCATATGTACACCCTAACGCTAACCCTAATTAACTAACTAACTTGAAAATTCATAGAGTATTCAATTTGTGAATCTTACTATCAAATTACACTTTATCATTTTATTCAAATTATTTTAAATATGAAAATAAAATTAGCATTTATACATAATAATTAAAACAGGCGGCGAAGCCGCCCGCATTCGCAATCTCTAGTTATACTAAATTGATTTAAAAATTAAATCTTTATATATTGTTATAGTGACTATATATGATATACATGTTGCGCCCCGGAATGATTTGTCCCGATTCAGGAAACTTATACTAACTAAAATTAATCATTTTTGCATTATTCTAAAGTCTAATTCTAATTCTTCTAATTCTGCCAATAACTATAATATTCCATTTGAGGCAACCTAATTTTGAATCAGTACGATTTCAATGTGGAGTACAGCATACATATATATTAGTATGATTTCAAGCCAATATGCACATACATGCACTTCACGTATTTCAGTTCACTTTATTTGTGTATCTAATCACGGATAATAATTTAATCTGGTCACTATTACTAGAATGGAAAAATCGATTTTCAGGTAATTATAAAACATGCAGAACTTCTAACAATTAATTAATTCCGATTTATATTTCTACACCATACTTTTTTAGGAAATCTCCGTTAAACTATCCTATATAAGTTATTGTTCGTTTCAGATGGCATTTTTTTTCTGCGTTATGATGACGCGTGGACATGAAATTGATTTCTTATTTAAAGGGTAGAAAAATTTTTTATTTTGTTATTCATACTGAAATCCTAAATCGTAATATGGGGAAAATAACTTTTTTAATCATTTTATTATGCACCATCAACATTTTATGTGCATTTGCTCAATATGACAATACTCCTCCTCCTCAACCTTCAACTACTCCATATGAAAATCCTTATCCTCTAATGAACAATACTCCTCAAACGGACAATACTCCCCCTCCAACGGGTAATACTCCTCCTCCATATAACGATTCTGCTTCTCCTCAAATGAATAATAATTCTCCTGAAATGAGTTATACTTCTCGCTTTCCAGTCACAACAGATGGTACATGTGGTAATAATACTTCTTCATGTAAACCCTTCGACTGTTGTTCGTTTAAGGGCTTTTGCGGTGGTACAACAGGTAAATAAAATTCCATTATTTGATTGATGGATTCTAAATACCAGATTTTAATTAAAATTTATCTTTATATAATAGCACATTGTGGAACAGGATGTCAATCAGATTATGGTGTTTGTGGTATTCCAGACGATGGTTTAGCACTTATTGAAACATGTCAGACTGAAAAAACTATAGCATTTACTTATGATGATGGTCCACATGAAGTACGTTAGACTTTAGAATTATGATTTAAGATATCATTATATTCAATTAATTTTTTTGTTTTTTACAGTTTACTTTGCAGTTGCTCGATACCTTAAAAGAACACAATATATTAGCTACTTTCTTCATCAACGGTCACAATCAACCCCAAGAATGTATATACGACTATGCTGATATCCTAAAGCGAATGCACAAAGATGGCCATCAAATCGCTCATCACACATGGTCACATCCTCATTTGGGTAACGAAACCGATGAAAATATCGATTTTCAAATTAAAACTTTAAATATAGCATTTGAAAAAATTCTTGGTTTTATCCCAAAATATTTCCGAAACCCATTTGGAGAAGCTACTATTCGCCCTCGATTAAGAAAAAATTTATTAGATGCTGGATTTAAAGCTATTGCTCTTTGGGATGTTGATACTAGAGATTGGGCTACCGATAATGTAACTTCTATAATAGCAAATTTTCCAGGTCAAATTAATGATACAAAACCTCACATAGTATTAAATCATGATAGAATTAATACTACTGTTACTAAATTTGTACCAGATGCTATAAAAATAGCAAAAAAACTTGGGTATAAATTTGATACTGTTGCTGGATGTAATGGAAAACGTAATAAACATGATTGGTATACGTATAAGGGAAAACCTCAAAAAAGAGATAGTACGTGGCATTGTAATACAAATGATATTGAAGATGGTCATTTATGATTAGGAATTCATATAGTTTATTAAATATAAAGTTTTTGTTTAGAGTAATAACAATATAAAAACTAAAATAATATACTGGGATTTTTGGGATTTAATATAGAATTATATAATAAAGCTAATAATTGATTTTGGGTGATAATATTAGTAAAATTTATTATTTGGAGTTAATTTTTCGTTTGCATACATGAAATCTGAAAATTAGGTCGGTTGACCTTTTTTTTTATATAATAATATCTTGTGGTTAGTGGATCAATACATTAATACACAGTGACCCAAAATATTATTAATCAATACCGTGACCTCTCACATGATAAAATACGTTATTAGCTCGTACGTAATTAAAATAAAAAATTAAAATTAAATAAAATAAATATGGTTCTTTATAAAAGATAGCGATTCAACGTTCATGAAAAATTAACGGAAAAACTTGTGCAGGTAGAAGAATCGTCAATACTTCCTTAATAAAGATGTCCAAATGCTGTGAATACCACCACTTAGAGGTCTTACCCGGGTCAGAAAATACCGACCCGGGCGGGTCAGGTGACCCGGGTTATAACCCGGGTCAACGGGTCAGACGAAAATTCACAAAGTTTTTGAAGTTAATCCTTAAAAGTTGAT